TTGTGAGGCTCATGCTCTGCCAGGGAGGAGGGGAAGCTGTGAGGAAGCAGAGACGGGGCGCCTGACCCAGGCTAGCCAAAGAGGTATTCCATACCACAGCACGTCATGGCCGGGGTGGGGGGTAACTGGGAGTTACCCGGAAGGACATAGGCTTCCAGGTGGGCCTTGTTTCCTGGCCGGTGGTATCGTATTCTCTTCCCTTGTTATTTTCCCTTATCATTGTTGTAGTTGGTAGTAGCGGTGGATTTGTGTTGTACATTGGTTGCTGGACTGTTCTTGTCTCAACCCTTGGGAGTTGCACCCTTTCGATCCTCCTCCCCGTTCCTCCGGGAGCGGGGAAGGGGAGAGCCCCGGGGCGGGGTGGGGGGGGGATCGTTTGCTCTCAGCCCGGCACCACTCACTGGGAGTGAGTGAACAAGCTGTCTAGCTAGGGTTTAAACCACGACACTTTCTTTTCCCAGCACCAGACAGTGTCCATGTCCTTCTCTCACTGTTTCTACTGCCCAGCATGCTGCTGCCTGAAGTCATGCACATATTTCACCTTCCCAATTTCTCTCCTATTTTCTCTTGTAGCTGTGGTCAAAGACCCAGATCTGTTCATAACCCTTTTTCTTCTCTGTTGTGGGGGCATTTTCAACCTTTTTCTCAGGTTCTTGGGCTGAGCAGTCTAGAGCACTGCTGTAAAGGACATGGATGACTGCAGAAAATGTCATTTACATCAGCTTATTCTCACTGGAGAAACCTGCAAGTTGTAAAATATATATAATACAATAAATACAACTTTACTGTTGCCTGAGGCCTAAAGTGAAAATGAATCCCTCACATTGCATTTCCCTCCTTTGCCCAAATACCAGAGGGCAGAGAAACCTAAAAAAGGACAAGTGTTCTCTTTCCATCTCAGAAGGTGCGGGGAAGACAAGTGGGGAAGCCTAAAATATATTGGATTCGCATGAATTAGTAAGTTTGAGAGGGGTTTCTTCTAAAAAGGGAACAGAGAAAGGCTGTAGCAGTATGCAGAGTCCAGGCCAATTAACCCTCAATGTGCCTGAGATGAGCGCATCCCATGGTGTGCAGGAGTTCCTTCCTTGGATTGCAAACATTAAAGGGGACAGAGAAGAGAAATGGACAGGAGATGTTTTTCTGCAAGTGTTCTGCAAGCTCTGGCACAGAAAAGGCTTCTTATGAGTTTCCTGGGAGCTGAGAAACAAAAGCAGCTGCTGAAGAATCACTTTTAAGGGAGGTTCCTGATGGAATGTACTTAGCTCTCCCTGTTATCCTCACTTTTTAAAGAGCTGAAATAACAGACTGAGCAGAGTGGCAAAAAAGTTATCGCTGCTGTTAGAGACAGGGGTGGATTGAGGTATGACTGGCAGAAGGAGGAACAGATCACTGCAGGTAGCAGGACCCACTACAAAAAAATATCATGGCTACTGATCCTCTGAGCTGGCACTAGGCCTAGCTGCTAATCCAGGATGGCAACTAGGTGTCTTTAGCATTTCTCTTCAGCAGAAAAAGAAATAAGTTGTCATTACAGTTATACTCCAGGCAGGAAGGCCAAGACACTATTCTTTTGAAAACTCCTTTGAGTGTAAGTTGTATCCTTGTTGCTGCCAGTTGTATTCTGGCAGGAGGGTCACACACACATGTAACTTTGCAATAGTGTCCAAAGATTTCACATGTCAGAACCCTCTGGCTGCGCAAGTGAGAGGGAGACCCTTGTGCTGCACGTTAAGTCCATAATGAGAGACGTGTGTGTGCAGAGTGGGGGGCATATTTGAGGAAATTACAAAATATTTCTTGAGTTAAGTATGTTTATGAAACATTTCAGTCAGGACCAGTTACACACCAGTGATTCCCAGCCACATTCAACCTTTCTCATAGCACCACATGCTGCTTTCTTCTGTCTTCCATCTTGACAGAAACCCCAGAATACTGTTGCTGCCCTTGCCTTCCTCCACTGCTGTTAGTTTGAGAAAGTGCCAGTGGAAAGACTTAGATAACCAGCCAAGCAAAGCATATTAGTTTGGTCTCTCATCTCTAATGCTGGCGTTCAAGCCAGAGAGGTTGTTTTAATTGGGACCCACTATTTGAGATAAAATGATTTTTTTTTTTTCCTGGAAAGCAACTGTGTTAAATTTGAGATTAACACTAAGATTGATTAAATTTAATCTGGACCCAATTTTAACTTTCTATCACTCAACAATGACTTCCATAAAAGAGAAGAAAAAAATTAAAGCAGCCAGAGCATGGGATATGTCAATCTCAGCTATTCATTCTTAGGATATTACAGGAGGCCAATGTGTTTGGACAGTGAAAGGAGAGAAACAGCCTGGTTTTAGAACTGCTAAGTATCCCAGAGAATTCCTAGTACACTTAAATTCTGGGTGCTAAACTTCTTGAACATCAGACCCGTAGACAACAGAGTATGTCTACGTTACTTGCAGTATCAAATGAAAAAATCTAGAGTTCCTATTCTCTCGCTGGTGTTTTTTCTCCTATTACTTCATTGTAAATGATTAAAACCTGCTGGCAATATCCCCTCTCCCCCCTTTTTTATTAATTCATGATGAATTCTGTTTTCTGGCTGACATCAGTACCCTGTCATGGTTCAAAACTCTTCCAGTGCTTGGTTGGCTTGTTGCTTGCTTGCTGAAAAAAAGTGTTTATATCAGGATATTTGGAAAGCAACAAAATGTGATGTTATGGGGTGGGGAGAATTGTTTTGTTTCTACAGAACTTGAACTTTGAGATATTTACATTGTCTAATATGTGACTCTCATTAGGAAAACAATGCAGATTGTTCTGGTCTGTTTTTTCCATTCATTCTTTTGTTATAGCTTTGACAGTGTAGTAATATCAGTAGGAAGTAGCATTCTGTGCACACGCTGGGGTCAGATGTCTAGCAAACTTGCCAGAGGGTAAAATATCTTTGAGAAAACTCTCAGATATTCCCATGTTCCATTTTTGCTTCCCTACTTGAGTTTCATGCACATCTCACAGTTACCTGCTGCTGTATGCAACTTCACTCTGATTACTAGGTTTGACCTTAAAGGTGCTTTCTGTTAAAGTCTCTGTATCTGAAGTAGTCTTTCACACGTGTCAGAGTTTGAATGCCTATCCAACCTAGATAAGGAGTGAGCTCACATGCCCGTGAGAATTCAAGCCCTTAGTTAAAAATCTTTCTACTGCAACAAGGATGACCTCTATTTTGTGAACAAACAATGAAGAAATTAAAAAAATAAGAATTTAGCTACCTTCAGAACCAGAGTCCATTCTTCTCATTGTTTAAAGACATCAAATGTCAAACTGGTAATGGTTTTGAATGCAGAGCAAGGGAATATGGCTATGGTCTGAGACAGGTGCAAAGTTTTAAGACATAAAAGGATGATTTTCACCTACATACTGCTCCCAATGCCAAAAAGGAGGCTATTCTCTAAAAAATAAAAAAATAAAAAAAAAAATTAAGAAACTGCTGATTGGAGGTTCCATCTGTTAAAAGATGTTCCCTCTACAGTGGTGTTTGCTTATACTATAGAAGGACTGCATATATCACAATCTTACACTAATTGTGTGCAGTCTAAGAAAATTTCCGAAGAAAAGCCAATAAAAACTGTGGTTATGATGATCCATGACTTACTGCATTGATTTACATTTTGGTCTGTTGCACACAGTGCCTATCAAGAGATTGCTTGGAGAAATGAAGCTCTGAATAACACCATTAATAAATCAGGGTCTTTTGCTTCATATGTCATATAAGACTTTGGTTCCTAAAATGAAAAAAAATGGGATAATGGGGAGTCCTGCCTAGTTTGTAACACCGTTCTCCTTTCTGAGTATGTTCTCAAAATGCTTGAGCATCCTAAGTTGCTAAGGATTTGATGTTGTTTGGCACCTAACAAAAAGCAGCTTTCTCACTGGATAGCCAACTTAATTTAGAATGCATTACCTACAGTCAAATTATCTGCCACATGCTGAGAGAGTAGTTGGCTGTATGGACAACCAGAAAATCTGGACTTTCTGTTTTTTCAAAATTCTCTTTCTGAGATGTTCTTATAAGCAGCTACTTTCCTCTTTGGGTTTTCAAACTGAGGGTCAAATGTGCTTCACTGAATATCTATCTTTCTTTTTCTTTCTTTGCTTAACAGAATGCTATCCCTCTTTTACTGTGTCCAGCTGGCACATCCTCAGCACGCTGATTTCATTTAAAAAATCACTACCCGTTGTAGAAGCCAGATGTAGCTGAATAAAAGAGTTTTGCTCATCGTATCACTCTGCTGGCTGAACCGTTCAAAGGGCCGTTCCTGAAAACAGTGAGTACTTCTGGAGCAGTGAGAGAAGACATGAAGTGCTACATCTGTGATGTGCCTGAGAGTGGGACTGCTTTGACAGGGCATCTGTCATCCCATGGCTCTAGCATTTGAGCTGGTTCTTCAAACATATTGTTATGGAGGTTCACTTAAGCTAAATAAGAATAGTTGGAAAGAAAGCAACTGGTAAGTATAAAGATAAAATGGTCTCAGGTAAGACTTCCACAGGAAGTGTGTATAAAATGAGTCATTCTTTATCTTCCATTCAGAAAGAGCCTGTCACCTAAACAGTATACAGAAAATAATGGCTACAGCTGAGAGCACCGGGCTGATCATGCAAAGGCTTGAATGTTGTTCTTGGCTTTTCTGAGCTGCTTTGAACAAGTCACCTCCTCAATTTCAATACCTTCTCTACATTTTAATCTTATGTGTTGTTTAACCTCAGCTGGCAGCTAAGCCCCACACAGACACTGACTTCCTGGTGGGAAGGGGGAGAAAATCTGAAGGGTGAAAGTGAGAAAACTCACGGGTTGAGATAAAAGGTTTAATAGGTGAAGCAAAACAAGAAATTTGTTCACCACTTCCCATTGGCAGTCAGGTGTTCAGCCATCCCCAGGAAAGCAGAGCTCCATCACACGTGAAGAAACAAACACCATCACTTAAAATGTCTCTCCTTGCTTCTTCTTCCCCCAGCTTTTATTGCTGAGCAAGATGCCAATATGGTATGGGGTAGCAATAACTAAAACATCCCTGCGTTATCAGCACTGTTTCCTGCACAGATCCAAAACCTAGCCCTATTCTGGCTACTATGAAGAAAATTAACTCTACATGAGCCAAAACCAGCACAGTAAGCATCCAAGATTGCTGCTTGTCTTGGTTAAACATACCCTTTACGTTTTGAAGGAGGTCATGTCTCTTTCTAAAGAGACATTTCCCTTTAGAAAGGGAACTTTCTAAACAGTTTCATGCCTTTGATCTTTCCTCATAGGTCCTATTTTCTAACTGTTCAATCATCCTCATTGCCCTTCTCTGGACTCTTCCAAACAATCCATAAAAATCTGTAACTGCAGGGGCTATAAATGAGCATGTTACTCCAGCTCAGGCTTTCTCCTTCTGAAGATGGAAGAGTGCTTTCTTAGGGTGAAGAAGTGCACTGACTAGGAAAAAAAAGAAAGTGTGTGAAGATACTGTAAGACCTGGCTATTTTCAATTATCTCCTATGAAAGTCTTGGTCACCAGATGCTAATGTTAAATCACCAGTTGTAAGCATAGCTGTCACCTCACTCAAGCCTTATTTGTGTAGCTACAAGCACCCTTCATAAGCTTCCTTTTGCCTTGCTGTCATCTTAATGTGATGTTCTATACATTACATTACTTTTTTTGGAAACGCGTGCAAAGGCTAGATTCATAAAACTGTTTTGGCTATATTAGGATCCAATGAGATTGCATTACCTTCTCTTGTACAGAAATAGTCCAGAGATTGACTAGTTCATCTTGTAGTAGCCTCCCATGTCACAGAAGTCTCCTGGAACTGTAAGGGAACAGACACCAGTGGAAACGCCAAGCAACTGCAGTGCCCATAGCAGTACATGGCTGCTTAAGATGTGCCATGTATACTGTTCCCTTCAGCACTGTGAGTATCACCATTCATTCTAGAAGTTACTGATGACTCTCTTTTACCAGATAGAACTATCTCTTGGGCCTCTGTACCCTATTAAGCAGGTCAGACATTGCAGTCACTGGTGTTTGTTTGAGTTTCATCTTTGAGATGTCAAATACAGTTTTGCCCCCACCTAAAAAAGAAATACTGATCTGAAATTTTCTGTCTTGGTGCTTTGTGCCACACTGTTTCAGGACTACCCAAAACTTGAATCATATCTAAAAATAGAACTTGTGAAGAATATACTTTGTATTATATGAAAATTATAGTGAGGTTGGTTTTGTGTTGTTTTTGTTTGTTTTGTTGTGTTTCCAGGTGTGATCTGCTTTCTCTGGAAAAACATATATGGCTTGAGCCTTGGAGAAAATTATCTGCTTGATTTTGGTGGAGGCTGGAACTGATCTGTGCTGCCTTTTTGCAGTGGGTGAATCTGGGCAGCCACCTTTTCCTCTGCTCTTAATGAGCATCCGAAGCAGCACTGCCTCAAATGCTGCCAATGAGGAGAGTCGGGGACAGGAAAGAAGTTCCTGGTGCTGGAAAAGGGAGCAGGACCAGCCCACTGTTGTGGGTTGACCTTCGCTGGACACCAGGTGCCCACCAAAGCTGCTCTATCACTCCCTCAGCTGGACACAGGAGACAAAATATAACTGAAGGCTTGTGGATTGAGATAAGGTCAGGGATAGTCACCAGTGACCATCATGGGCAAGACTTGACCTGTGGAAATAAGTCTAATTTATTACTGACAAAATCAGGCTAGGATAATGAGAAATAAAACCAAATCTTAAAACACCTCCACACCACCACCCTTCTTCCTGGTCTTAACTTTACCTGTGATTTTCTCCACATCCTCCCCTCCAGCAGTGGAGGGGGATGAGAAATAGGGGTTGTGATCAGTTCATCACAGGTTGTCTCTGCCACTCCTTCCTCCACAGGGAAGGGCTCCTCACACTCTTCCTCCATTCCAGCATGGGATCCCTCCCACAGCAGACAGCCCTCCTCCAGCTTCTCCAACATGAGTCCTTCCCACAGGCTGCAGTTCTTCATGAACTGTTCCAGCGTGGGTCCCTTCCATGGGTGCATCCTTCAGGAACAGACTGCTCCAGTGTGGATCCCCATGGGGTCACAACTCATGCAGCAAACCTGTGCCAGCTGGGCCTCCTCTTTCCACAGGTCCTGACAGGAGCCTGCTGCAGCATGGGATTCCCACGGGGTCACAGCTTCCTTCAGGCATCTCCCAGCTCCGGAATGAGGTCCTCCCCAGGCTGCAGGTGGATATCTGCTCCACCATGGGTCTCCATGGGCTGCAGGGACACAGCTGCCCTACCATGATCTGTGCCATGGGCTGCAGGGGAATCTGCTCCAGTGCCTGGAGCACCTCCTCCCTCCCTTCTTTCTGCACTGACCTTAGTGTCTGCAGAGCTGTTGCTCTCACAATATTCTCTCCTCTACAGCTGCTGTCGCCGTTGTGTAGGTGGGCTTCTGCCTCCCCCTTCTTAAATATGTTACCTCAGAGTCACGACCATGGTCTCTGATGGGGTCAGTCTTGGCCAGCATTTGGTCTGTCTTGGAGCCAGCTGGCACTGGTTCTATAGGGCATGGGAGAAACTTCTGGCAGCTTCTCACAGAAGCCACCTCTGTAAACCCCTGCTACCAAAACCTTGTCATGCAAACCCAATATGCTCAGAAAGGAGATGGGGAGCCAGACCTGTGAAGGGGTTCCAGTAGAAACATATGCTACACCTGGTCTATAGGGGCAGGATGGAAGCTGGTAAGAAAAGGATAGGGGCTGGAGGGCAGGGAGTTCTGACAGAGAGGGAACTGAAGAAGATTTTATGGCTTCAGGAGGGATGTAGCATTAGAAAGTAGAGCAGTGAGATGCTCCTTCTTGCTCTCCTCTCTCCTTTCTCCATTTTCTTGAATTCATCACCTGAAAACTGAATATAGCATCATCAGGTGTGAAGTCTGGGTAAGTGGCATCCCTGCCTGTCACTGAGCTGCGTGGGCAGGTGCCCTTAATTGAGTCTGTATCCTAGTGCGTTAAGGGGCAAATCAGGTTTATACATGAAGATTTCAGTCAGTGTGAGCTTATTGAGAAACAACAGCAAAACTTTTCATTGCTTGGCCTTAGCAGGTTTAGAATTTGTAAGGAATTGTAGTTCAGAGTGTACTACATCTGGTAGAAAAATAGCTATTTTCATGCTGTGAGTACTTAGTTTTTCACTTGGGATACTTTTAGATCTATTGTTTTAGAAAGATATTTTAGTCTTCAGTTCTTACTGAGACGAAGTCCAGAATTTCACGGTGTAAATAGGCATCACTAACTCAAGGTTTGCAATTTTAGATTTAGTTTTACCACAAAGTCCTGTATATTCTTCTCTGGGAAATCTAGATTCTTGTTTATATATACAATATATAGCCTCTGTTCCTTAAAAATACACCTTAACCTGTTACGATCATGAGATAAACCCTAACATTTGAATTGCCTGACTTTGAAAACGACTGGTAGCACAATTTATACTTGACTACATAGGAATGAAGCAGCACCATTTGGAGTGATGAAGTTAAATGATAGCCCAAATGAAAATTTGTTTTTTGACAGATTATCTATGTTGGGAAAATGATTAGTGAATGAAGGGAAAGGAAGGTGGCAAAAATCAAACTGAGTAATTTATCCTAGTGTTCTTGGTTTTCCTGTCTTTTACATAAGTGTTGTACATATTCATGTACCAGTGAGATAGAGAAACCTCCTTCAGCAGCTACTACTGCAGTTCACTATATCCACAGCTAGACAGGAACAATACCGGGGGCTCCAGTTATGCTGCCTCAAGGGAGAGAGAATCAAACTTTGGAGAGAGCAGGGCAACAGGACATCAGCATGTACCTACCCTATAAGAAAATTGATGTGTTTTTGAGTACAAAGCCTCTTGTAACTCTGAATATTGAGGACACCAAATACAGTGGGAAGCTAGCTGCATTTGATGCAGCAATCAAAGGGTCAAATTCTTTCCCCTGCTGCTCTGTGGCAGTCTGCTGGGCTCCGCCAGTGAAACTGAAGAGGAGGATTTGGCTTGCAGCCTGGTTTTAATCTGCACGTATGGTATCAATTTTGGAAGCATTTTCTGGTTGTCCTCACAGTTATAAAAGGGTAGAAAAATATATTTATTCTCTTTCCTAGTTAAAAACCAGACTTTTGTTAACTCATTTGTGTTAAGTCTTGACTTGAAAAGCGCAATACTTCATTTTCAGTTTTTCGTAGCACTGGCCTTTGTATTAATAACTACCTCTGCTGTCTATCCAAAGTGAAAGACCGCTCTGGAGAAATCAGCTTGCCACAGTGGATCCCAGCTCTCTCCTGCACACACAGCTGGTGCTGAGTCCACTGGGACACTTACTAGTGGATCCCCCTTCTGACCCTAGGCACTGGTGTCTCCTGCCCATCAGCCTTCTTCCTCCATTTTCTTAGCATGTTCACCCAGTTGCTTGCTTGGAGTTGAGGAGCATCGCGGAGCATGGGATGTTGACAATAGTTGTGTACACTTCCAACCAGCTGCTGAAGAGGGAGTGTTTCCTCATGCTCACCCAAATTTTCAGCTTCTGTGATGAGCCCTGCAGCCATCAGCCATTGACAAGTGTCTGGCCCCATTAACAAGCTCTGACCCTCTTAGAGCTCCATATCAAGCACTGTCATACCTTTCCTAATTGCTGGTTTACTATAAGGTTTTCTTGAGGTGGTCTCAGGACACATTCCTTGCTTTTTGTCCCTTCTGCAATGTTTTATGTCACCCTTTTCTATGAAGTAGATGCTGCTTCCTTCCGCTTCTGAGAAAGACCAGCAGCTCCTGCCTCTCCCCAGAGCACAAGACTGCAAGAAGCCGCCTGTAGCAAGGATCTTGGCTTTCCTGTGTAATTGCAGATACCATTCATATTTTCTTCAGAATCTGGGGAAACTTATTCATGAGAGGTAATTAAGCCCTTAAAAAAAAAAAAAAAGGGTTTTTTATCTTTTGTTTTTTTTCCTGCTTTCTTGTATATTTTCTAGGTTTCCATCCCTCCCAATTGCTTCTTTCTTTGTCTGCCTTTCCACCCTCTTTTTGTACTCTTTTCCTGTATTTTTAACTCTTTCATCTACCTTGACACTCACTCAGTACCCAAGATCAAAATTCTCATGTGGCTGTACAGACCTATTGCTTCTTGACTCTTAAAAATCTTCTTTAGGATAAAATACTTCAATAAATAGCATAAGATAACCATTTAAGAAGCAACTGAAGAACAGTGGCACGCTGCATGCAATAAACTTAGCTTTAGTTGTACTGCTAGGAAATATTGGAAAACTAGAAGGTGAGAAAATTAAGTAGGGAGATGAACCAAAGTTGTTGGGTAGCAGGGGCAAAAGGGCAGCCCTATCATACACCAGCCAGTAGATAACACTTGCCACCTTGAATTTCTGCTGACAGCTGTCCACATGTGCCAATACTATTACTGAGGGTTAACAAATCATTGGAAGTTCTCATTATTTCCAGCAAACTGGCACTGCAATTGCTTCTAGCAATTTCCTGGGACACCTTTATCGTGTAATAGCAGTAATTCATAATCAAAATAGACAGAAAACCAGGAAGTTCCTCATGCTTTCTAGAGCACACTGCTGCTCTGGTACTTTATATGGAATACGTGTTATTTGTCTTGTGTGGGTTTAGATTTCTCTTTTGTGAAAGACAGATCAATAACTGCTGAATTAACCAAAATTAACCTCCTAACATAGCTATCATGAAAACAAGCTTTAACACCTGCAGACCAGTATGGCCGTGTTTGTATTTCAAGACCCAAGAATGCCTTAAGCAAGTTCTTTTAATAAGATGAAAGCTTTTGGCTACCAAAACCCACCAGCTGATTATTACCATCATGGTCTTATCTTAATGTGGTTGTTTTGAATGCTGAACATGAGAGAGATTCTATTTTGGAAATACATTTCCAGTATTCAAAGCGATTATGAAACCAACCCAGGTGTTTTACTTCATACCTCCAACATTAGCTTTTTTAATGATAAGTCAGTCATGCAATTGAGATAATACAGGTTTCTGTCTCAATCAAATTTGTTCTTCTTCTCTAAGACCAATCACTATGACAGTTCCAGTTCACTTAAGTCTTCCTTTATGCAGCAGTTTGGTCATGGCTGTAAGTATGGAGCTGTTTTCATGTTTAATTTTGGATAGTGGTAGCAACAGTGGGAAATCATAGCTAATCAGGCCATTGAACACAATCATGCCAGATGCCTTGTGTGTCTGGGGTTTATCATGCACCATGAGACAAGCTCTGGCCATTGTGTGCATCGCAAATTTAGATCTGCATGACACAATTGACAATAATTTCTTCATAGCACTGGGATAGGTTTATGACATGTCCAGAACCTCAAGCTGTATTGTACTGTATGACACTGTCAAT